GGAGAGGATTCTGTTCGACCAGTTGCAAGAATAGTTGCAATGAACTAGTTGCAATGAAGATAGCAGCCACGGTGCAATCAGATTTATTAATTTTTGCGATATTGCCAACCAAATGAATGACGATAGACGAACCTGCGGGTTAATCCTGCCACGAAATCAGAACTTTTGCGTTCTATCCTCGCTCTCGATTCAACAAGCAGACGTTTAATATTCTAAGAAACATTTTGCCATAAAATTGAAACAAGAAATGTTTCTAATGAATGTGTAATGAAATGGCTGTCATTGAATGTATTAAAAATAATTCTTCCATCTGGATCTCCAAGTTCAGAGATTTGTTAGCAGTGAAAACATGGAATGGAATTGAGAACATGCCAAACAAGAGTACATAATACTCGAGAAATATTCTCCAAACCTGAAACACGAGGCAACCTTCCCTCCCTTCGGCAACGATTTAACTTAAAAAAAGGGAATATTTTAATCAAACACTCTGCCATCGTGTAACGCTGAAGACTGACGAAACAAAAAGCTCAGACTTGATCCACGAGGAGAATGGGAAGATCAGCGAACCACTCTGAAAATTTCTAGCTGGAAAACAACGTCCAGAGATCGTTAATCAAATCTATCCCGGAACGTCGATCAACATCACGAAACGACGAGCAGAACGAGGTGGTTCGATGGTTTTTCCTCTTCTTTTTCATCATTTCTGTCTTACTGATGGTTCGATGAGAAATCGATAGCCGGTAAAAGGCGATCGGTTCGAAGAAGCAACGCCAACCGTGGCATAATCGTTGAATTATTCAACTCGAAAGCGAGGAAAATGTTTTGATTATGCCAGGCCACAGACGCATGCACACGTGTACGTGCACGAATTCTCTGCGCGCTTCAAGCGACCGAAATTAGTTGGATATCCGAATAATTAACGAAAATAGCAGGAGCGCGCCGCTATTATGAAAGTGTACTTACGTGGAGTTTATTGGACCGCTGCGTGAAAGGTCAAGTGTGCAAGTTGGATTTTTAGTGAGAAAATGAAGTTTTTGAAAAGGGTAGTGGAAAAGAAGCGTATTGGCCGTTTCAAAATTGGAATTCGTATCTTTGGTCATCGTAGAGTTGTACAATAAATAAAGCTCGGCTTGGAAGAGAAAAGTGACAATTGTTGAAAACGGTTAAGAACAATTTATAGCGAACGTAATTTTGGTAGAACTTTAAATCGAATTTTGATCACGAAGTGTGATTTAAAAAAAGAAAGCGAAGATCATTGGGAATTGGATCGAAACAAATGTTACATTGGTGTTATCAAAATTGAACTTCGAATTTTTATTAAATGCATAATTAGAACGAAAAAAGCTGAAATTCGTATCTCTGCCGAATACAGAGGCCTAAAACAAGTGGAATTTGGTTTAGAAGATCCAGGTAAAAATTATATGGTACTTGTGACTGTCTTGAAATTACAGGCAAGATTCTAAGTAAAAAACGAGGACGATGGGCAAACGATTCAATTAGTTGGATCAAGTTAATAGTCAAGATGTGGCGTTCAAACTAAGTAACGAAGTTGCACGAGCTATTCGATTGTTCAACTTTTTAAGTTACGTGGCTCTCGTTCGGCGAAGCTGAAAAGTTTCTAGATGCCGGGATCGCGGAAGGTCTAGAAATAGATTGCCGCTTGTGTAGTTTTGAATGGTTTAAAGCGTAAAAGTCAGCTCAAAATAAAAGATGGTTTTCACATTAAACATTTGACATAATGTTGAAATAGCCTCTATTAACTTAGAAACAACGTACATCTATTAACACTTACTTCATCATCAAGTTGCTAATAAACTAATCTTTCCTTTCTACATGATCTAAAGATGTACTCCTTAATCAAACTAACATACTCTATGATAGATATTATATATAATCAAAAGGAAATTTTAGTCCATTGTTTATTGGGCTTAAGACGTTGGAAACAAGCTGTTCCATTAAGAACCGCTTCCTGTTCTCTACTTGATAATTAGTCCGCGAATTTTTACGCATTTGCAAATGCACTTAATATGCGAAAATAAAATGTACGTTATTTAATAGATAAAACAAATCTCTGCTTAGAATCTATTTGTTTAATTGCGTTCATAAAAATATAAATTTGCAGAAATAACATTTAAATAAAATTCCTTATTTTCGATTCATCGAATTGACGATTAAAAATGCCTAAAATCTAAATCACCCTACTTGGGCGAGATATTTTGGGCTTAGAATATTCGAGAGAGAAAATTATTGGAAATTGAATAGGGCGACAAATTTTCGCACGCTCGAGAACAAACGCGAAATCGGCTAAGCGTGTTTACACGGGCGGACAATATTCTAAATCAGCCGGCCCTAATTGCGAATCCGTGGTGCTGCCGTTCAAATTAGATTCGCTCGATTTTCGTGACTCGATGAAACACGTGTGCAGTGTGAGGAACGGCCATCGAAAGCGGTCACATTAGTCACGAATCGTCCTTGCAATTTGTACAGATAAACGACACCATTCGTAACGTGACCAACTTCGAGACCAAGCTCGATCAAACAACGATAATAAATCTTAAAAATTCTCGCGATTTACAAATCCATTTAAAAAAGTAGAAAACGAGATCGAGAAAGTATAACCATCAACGCGAAATTTGTTTCTATATAATCATTAATACGAGAACCAATTGTAAATTGTATAATTGATACTAGAAATTTACATTAGGAAATTGTAAAGTTCAAGAAAGTTAAATTAAAGATATTCAGCTTCTTTTAAATCATCTTTTAAATACACTTGACTACTTGTATGATTGATGGAAAATTGCAAAATTAATAATCCGTGGATCAGTAAATGTTAACATTCAACAGGGTTGAATTAAAAATGTTTACTTCTGGTTAGACACACTTGGTCATTTGTATTATAAAGTTAATTATAAAGTTAATACCTTATGCGCTATTAAATTTAAATTAATCCTCTATAGCCTATTGAATTTAAAGATTGATATTCTGCGAACTAGCAAATTTTCAAATCAAAAAAAAATTATGTTAGAAATATATATTTTCGCTTGGATACACGTGACCGTCTGTGCGGTTGACGGTAATGCGGTAGTTTAAAGAACAAAAAGAGAATAAAGAAGAATCCGAGACGGGTCGAGCAGGTGACACTATGTAACGCGTGCTGTACGCGTGCTCTACGCTCCGTGTTTATCGACCGTGGCACAAACTCTCCCAAAAAGACACGGGGTGTGGTCAGAAATTTTCCTTCTTCTCCTGTCTGCACGGTTCGCGGCCAAAGAAAATTCCTCGACTGCGAGTCGAGGTCACTCGAGGTCACGAATGACACGAGACCAATACCTGTATCCCTCTAAGACCACCTATAAAACGTCGAGACTCACCTAACCTAGAGAAAACCGCGTGCAGTTCCCACTCGTTTTCCGATCGTCGGAATTCCGCTTCAGAAATTGTCCAACTTTGCTTCGCAACGATAATATTGTGGCTAACAATTAAAAATTTGAAAGTTTATGGTAGAAAATCGTAAATTTTGGTGAAGATAATATCAACAACTTGATCCTGTCGTGTTAAATAATATATTTTTCTTAAGGCAGTTGTCTTCGACTGGCAGAAATTGAGAATTAATTGAAGATTTCTATTCTTCATTCCAAGTTTCGTATATTTTTTGTTTCAAATGAATAGGAGAATAAGATATTAGAAAATTATACAGGCAAATATCGATATAAGAATTGCTACAGTATTTGATACAGCCAAATTACTTAGCAAACTGCGAATCTTTTCCTCTTCTCTCTTAAGTCTGTCACTACTAACCTATATAAGCGGTTGACGCAATCATAAACAATACGATTAAGAGAAAAAGTAAATTGAAATATCATTTATCCGTATAAAAGATAAAATTGAAAAAACGATAGAACGCATCGTGAAAAGAAACGATAGAAAGGGAAGGAAAACAAAGTGCTGACGAGATCTAGTGACTTTTAGGGACAACGTCATGCAAGGCTGCAACCACCTGCCGTCACCGAGACGAGCACGAGAGGGAATGCCGTGGAACGATAAAAAGAAAGCATCTGATCGAATAAGGGCATACCGGTGAAAGAGAAGAGCAACGGCAGAGATGATGATAGAAAACAAATTAGAAAGGGAGGAGAGATAACGAACGAGATGCAGAGAGAAATGGAGCGAGAGTGCGAGAAAGAGGTCGAAGGAGGGGGATGAAGGTAAAAAGCGGCGCGACGACATCGTATTGATTTGGTGACAGATCCGCGTACGATGCGGATGCCTCGTTTTCGACGGTGAGACCACCACGACGGCACAAGGCACGATACCAAGCGCCCTGACGCTTTATATATAGAGGCTGAGCCACGAGCAGACAGGCCGTGCCGCTTAAATATAGACGAAATGCAACGGGGTGTCTCCCGCGTGCGAGCAAGGGACACGGACGCGTATACGGAACGAAGCGACGAGATCCGCGGCCGAGAAAGGCGGATGGAAAGAGAACGATGAGAAAGCGAAACGACCAAAGGTAGGAGTGGGAAGAAAAACGTAGAGAAGAAAGAGGCCCTGCATACGTAGAGAATAATCATGGCCGACGACACGGCGCGGCGTCGTCTGCTAGGAGAATCGCGCTCCTCACGGATCATCACTCGCGTGTCCATCTAACGACACGGCGAAACGCTACCAGGAATCAACTAATCGGCGACACGAGATACACAACGACGCATGAATACGCTTGTGACACCAAGTTCGCGTGTAATAAAAACACTACCGCAAGAAATAGAAATACACGAGCGAGGGAAAGAGAGAGGTGGGAAAGACGAGATAGACAAAGAGGCATAAAGTGTGTATACACTGCGAAGGTACAGAAACGGAGCAAACACGACGTGACACGCGGTAACGTTAAACCACTCTCTGTCTCTCTCTTTCTCTTTCCCTTTTCGGTTCGCCCTACGTCGTTCATTACTTACGTCGCTCGAATATAATAAATAATGTGGTTTCTTTTTTGTACTTACTTGCCCAGTTCCTCCTTGAGGTCATAGTTGTCACTAAACCGCGTGCAAGCGGTCGGAGTAGCCATGCCGAGGTATCGCGATTATTTACCGCACTAACCGAGGAACGTAAGCGCGAGAGCCACTGCCGGCCGCCACTACCGCACACGCTAGGGGAAACTTCGCAGGTCAAATTCGATCAATAGAGGGGAACCGCCGCGGCG